ACAGATTATCAGTCATATTTACATTCAAAGATGTCGCCATCAAGAGAGGTTTTTCAAGTAACTGACACTACAACTGCACAAATATACAGTGCTAGCACTTTTTTGTAATTAAAAACAAGAATTTACCCAATATTGAGTTTGTAGGACCTTTATGTTTGTTGCTGTCATATCAAATCAGTTATCAATATGATTAGGAATGCTTTATACTGGTATTGTGTCATACATTAAAATTCTGGTACCGTGACAACCCTACAACAGGCACAACATACCCTGATCTATACTTGTCTAAGGTACGATGTGTTAGCAAACGCTTCTCCATTTCCTGAAGGCCAAGGAATATAGACTAAGTGGTTGGCCTATTTGGTAGCTTTGCACCAAACCCTGGAGGACAATGTTCCTGATGCTAGTTTGTAGCTAGCTGTTACCTGTTAGCATTCAAATGAAGCTCAGATGGTGATTATCAGTCTAGATGTCTGTAGGCAACATGTGCTTCATTTTTTCCTTGTTGCAGCAGAAGGCAAAGCTTATGCTACTGAAACTTAGAACTAAATATTGAATTATACGAGAATGACTAAGTGCTCAGTGTAGACCCTGGGATAAGATAATAAACTTCTGTTGTCACTGCAGGTACACACTTCAGAGGCATTATAAAAGTCGTAAATGTTTGCAAAGAATATTACAGAAAGAAATTGTACCCCCCTCGCACTACTATAAAACATTCCCTGTAGTTTTGGGGCGATTATTTTTTGGTATTTTCGCACCTCAGCTGTGTGGCTGCTGCTCCCGGCTGAGTCATGGACTGATTGCAGAAGCCTGTTTTGAGACAGAGTGGAGAGCATCTGTCTTGGCGTGACGGGTCCTTGAGAGTCGAGGCCAGATGAAGTGTGTGTGTTGGCTCAAGCCAAGAGGCTGTTGGAGCAGTGGAGCATTACATTGGGAGAATTAGGTGGTGAGGGGATTTGGTGACCTTCTCTTTGTCAGGGTGTCTTCCTGTCCTCTGTGTAATATAACAGGCAATTTGTCTCTCAAGAGTCTCCTGTAGAGCGGCTTGCTTCCTACTTTTATAATGAAATTGCTAATGTAAACAAAACTTCACAGACTGACAAATGTACAACATAATCTTAAAAATGTATCTGTCATGTCAGTATAGTTGTCCTATGGGAAGTTGCCTATGTAAATAATAACAGTTTTTGCTTTATATTGAAGGGGTTCATCAAAGTTTCATAGAAGCAAACATTGATTTAAACTTAATTAAATAAATTGAAACAGAAAAACGGAGTATTACCATTTTTCACCCTTCTTCTCAGTGCTGATTTTCACTACAAAACAGCCTAAGCCTGCTCTTATGTCCAAGAAGCATCTCAAACCTTCACCAATTATCTTTTATCTATAGTGTTTGGCTCTCATGATTTGAGCTGAATAGAGCCATTCCATGTCCTCATAAGGCAATTATGGCTCTATTTCAGAGCCCTTGGTGGTCTTGGTTAGATGGTCCTTTCTTGTGATCAAATTACTGGTCTCAATGATAAAAGCAAGCGGAGGCAAACCGAGTTATATATTTCTAAACATTCATTTTCAGTAAACAGGGACTGAAAGTTCTCTTTTCTTGCACAGGGCTAAACGTCAAGCATTGCAAATCAAGCATTTCACTGCTACGTTGTATCGATGTAATAAAGCTATATCGACCTTCACAGAGAGAGCTTTATCACTTTCAATAAGAGTCTTTATTATCAAATAAATTAGCAATGTTTCTACATTGCTATTCCTTTTCTCTTAAGTTTCTACAGCTCAAAAAAAAAAAGACAGCCTTTCTTAAAGTTGATGATTGCAATCAATGGGAAATGCCTCAATCGTGCGTTTTAGATGCAGACGAGGAATCATGAGCACAAATATCCTGCCATGAACTGACAATGTATAAGGGGGTGGTCTCAAAATAGCCCCTTTAAGGTTAATTTTTTTAGTTAAATTAACAAAGAAAGCCGTCGTCCTATCCAAACAAGCAGATCTTTTGATCAAAACTAGTTTAAAAAAATGGAATGAAGTGTTTTCTTAAAATGGTTGGTTCTTCCCTGAAGCTTTCAGGGATCTCACAACTCCAGGATGGGCTGCTAGCTGAGCTGTCACATGCTTATGTGAAGGTGCTTAGCATGTATTTAATTCTTCAGTATAAATCATTTACAGTGTTTTATTAGGAGCCAAACTATCCACTGTTTTCCTCCTTTCTAAAAGAGATCTAGTGATTTAAACCAGTAAAGGCTGCTAATTAAAGAGTTCCATGTTAAATCTGTGAACTCTTAAATGCTCTTCAGAGGGGCATTGGGGCTGCAGGCCAAGCTGCAACTCATTTTAGCTCTGCTTTTTTCTCTGATAACTTTAGATCCAGACTACCAATTACTTTAATTCTTCTCTTTGTTAAAAGATTATACTGGATAAACAGGGATGTGACCTAAACCCTTAGAAAGAAGTAAGCGAGAAATATTTAAGCCTCTAACTAGAACAGGCACTGAATTGTGCGTCTTTAATTATGAGACTCGGGTAGGCATGTACAGTATGGTGGTTAAGTTTTGCACTGAACCAAAAGAAAAAGGATCATTTAGTAAAATCTTCATAGTGGACAGCCAGATGCTTTATGTCACATAAGATACTCTTGACACAACATTAAACAATAGCTGTTCTAACACAATGTGTTTGAGCTCCTGCTGTCTCAAGTGTCCATGTGTTGCCACATGGTCTGAAAGGGTTTAATCTTGTTTAGGACCACAGGGTTTGTAACATATCCACACAAAACAGCAATTAACACATGTGGCCGACTCATTTAATCTTGAAAGCATTTTTAGGACCACCACGTGTCGGCAGGCAGCCGCTCCACCCAACTATAATCTCCCGGAAGCGTTGAGTGTAATTAACAGATGGTCCCACTTGTTCATGAACTCATGACGAGGATTCAGCTGACAGTGGTATTGCAATTTCAAACAGTGGGGTTACGCCAGAATTTTAATTGTGTGCAAGTACAGTAATCACATGGGAAAACCGGAATGTAATGAGTTTGACCAGACAAGGACAGGGATACATGGCGCATGTTATTGGAGGGATGGAGATTGCTATCACATGGCTCACCCTAGGGCCTTTTGGTTTCCTCTACTAAATGTTTTTACTTTTTACACATGCACAAAACTCCAGAAATCTTCAGGAGTGAGCTACATTTGTGAATGCAAACAGACGCTTTTCTTCCCAAACTTCCCCGTGTCAAGTCCGAGTGAGCCAATGTGGGAACCCAGCAGGAAATATACCTCTAATAACACATATGTCAGGCACTGTTGCTTTGTCTGCAAATGATGCAGGCATGCTTTGTCAGCCATTTCCACATCATCCTTTTTACATCATGTTAAGGCTCCTGATACCCCTTCCCCCTGTCTCCCTGTCTGTCGATTTCTAGTGTGAAAAGGCTTTAGATGGTATGTGTGTATCAGCAACTGGCTCAGTTGATTTGTAAATTATTTGCAGAATACTAAGCTTTCATTCTCGTCTTTGGCAGGAAATACTGTACACCAAAGGGCAGAGTCCAGGTGTCAAACCTGCAGTTAGCACTCAGCTTCTGAACACTAATTGAGCTAAACCAACTCCTGTATTGTCAAAAGTTCTCTCAAAACTGTTGTAAATTTCCTCACCATTGCATGGAAGTAAAAGTTATTGGTTGGGCTTCATTGATATTGGATTTGAACATTTAGAATTTGGCTTTGAATTGAGAATTGGAATTTAATGTACAATGAAGGCCATTACTCCAATGAAAGGCGTGCTTAACATTGACTGTTTCCATCGGTATCTTTACTTGTTTTTCATTGCGCATGTAATGCTGGTGCTTTAATTAGTCATGCTGATTTGTTAGAAACAATGTTTTCTTTTGAACTGCAGAGTCTTGCCACTGGACTCTACTGTTTTCTACTGTGTGCATAGAGCACATGAGCTTGTCAAATTTGTGGTAGAGGATAAAAATCTATTTAAACAGCTCAGCCAAGGACATGACTCTTCTGAAGCTTTAAAGTAAAATCCCAGCCCAATGCTTCCATGAAATACCCATCAACAGGTACCCGCACTGTTGTACCCCTGAGAACGTCCTCAGCAGGTCAGTGAAGCAGCCAACAAGCAGCCTGCAGAAAGTTTCCCTGGATAGATAAAGGTTAAACACAGTGTCATGCTCCAAAACCTCTATAGGGAACACAACCAGAGGGCCGACAGAAATAGATAGATTGGAATGAATCTTTCAGGCCTCACTGGGGAAGGAGCTGACAGGCCGGTTGGTTCCCCGTCCTATGCATGCAGTAGAAAACAGGCTGTTTATTAAAGGCCTGGAGCTGCAGCACCAGTGGGGAACAGTTATTTTGCTGCATTAGTATACGAGGCGAGGAATGAAACTCCTACTTAGTTCTTCTGTATGGTAATCTGATAGATGAGTAGGCATGATGTTGGAAATACATCCAATCTTGCTAGCCGTCCTCCACAAGGTCAAAGAGCACTTTCAAAACATTCAGTGCTATTTCAAAACAACAACAAAAAATGCTTTAAAACAACTCCAAAGCTTATTGTGCCAAATGTGCTTTTTAAATAAAGTTGCTATTGCTATACAGCTTGTCCCATTGGGGCTCCGACAAACAGAGCCAAACAACTCAGTCACACTCACATTCACAGCTAGGGGCAATTCAGAGTCACCAATTAACCTAACAAGCCTGTCTTTGGGCTGTGGTACCACAGTACCTTGAGGGAACCCACCCATGCAAGGGGAGAACGTGCAAAATCCCTACGGTAAAGCACCTGTTCGACCCGGGATTCAAACAAGTGCTAACCACTGCACCACCTGAAACTATAAGACAATTATCTAAATAGTTTGCAAGAACTTGCTCTCCATTGCCTTATAGATATTTGAGCTTTTGTTGTAGTTATAGTTGTACAAGTAATTCTATCCGGTCATGGTAACTCTTTGTCTACTTACTTTCTCCCAACAGAAATGCAGTCATCGTCATAGCATCACTGGTAGGCTTGACTCTGGATTAACACGACCATGGAGTCCTCCTCTGAGGCCCAGCAGGAGCCTGAGAAAACTTTGGTGAGTTGACACATTCTTGCCTTTGGTGCGAAGAAGTTCTTCACAAAACAACACTCTCAGAAACTATTTTGCTCAATGAAACTGAGAGAATATCTAGGTACGTATGTATCAAATGAAATCAATGGAGCTTTAAAAGAAACCTGCAACCTTGTATCAGCTTTACTTTTAAACATTTAGAATAATGCACACAGTGTTATAAATGTTTTGGTTAAGAAATTTGGAATGAAACCTCTACATAGACTGCACCCTAACTATAAATGTTATTCTTTAAGCTCCCCTACGATCTCCAAAATGATCTCCGATCCACCCACCCTGCCTCTTTAACACTGATAATTGTCCCTAGTAATTGGTGCTCTTCACTCAGCCTCCATGTATAGTCTGAAGCTGGAAAGGGCTCCTGTTTCCTGCTGCCATCAGTGACAGTATGTCTGCTCCAGGAGTACGCTCTCTGAACCCTAATGATTAGCTAAAGGTGCTAATGTTGCTAACCTTACACAGGCTTGTCAGGCTGGCCGTGGCAGACACTGCACTTTGCTGCCTGTAATTAAACTTGTGTTAGGGTGTGTGTGTGCATGTGCATATGTGTGAGAATGTCAGTAGATAGAGAAGACAGCTAAAGTCACTCCGGCTGCAGATGATTAAAGGTCACACAGAGTTGGGTTTTTGCAACATCCTTTTTCTGAGGAAAAACAAACAACTAAGATTAAAGGACAAGTATTTCACAGAATTTGTTTTTGATTCTTCCTGTTAAGTGTAACACGTTGACAGTGCCCTAATAGAGTCAAGTTCTGCTTTGTTAATAAAAACACTACCGCACTAAGCTGACATTTCCCTTTCATTATAGAGTAAAAAAAAAATGATGTTCTCGTTCAAATAAAGTTACTTAAAAGAAGAACAAAATCAAGTCTTTGCTGAGACTTCGAAGAACCAGGGATGTGCGCATTTAGTCGATGAAAGGGTTCAATTTGATCACGCCCGCTAGTCTGCACCAGAATAAGCAGTTGGCTAATCAAATTATGAATATTTCTGTTTATGCTCAATTTTTTGTATTTCTTTATATTTTCTAAAGCAGGATGGTAAATAATCTCAACAAGAGTTCATTTGTAATTGTGTTATAAAGCATAGTTTTGACGTTTAAGTAATTTAGCTGTTATTTTGTCAAACATTGAAAGGAAGTTCAATCGTTTTGAAACGTGGTTTTGAAGTAATTGAACATTTTGACATCCTTACACAGTCTCAAACTGTCAGCACAGTTCAGCCACTGTTCAATAATTAATATATTTCAAACCATTTGAACAAGAGCATTGAAATCAGATCCTTGCTTGAATTGCTTCGATATTAACCAGTTGCACCTGCAGTCAGCGCACACACATTCACACACCAACACATTAAACCACTTCCTTACTCTCAGCTTCCTGGATTGTCATTCTGCACTTTCATTTCACCTTCATCATAATCCCCTCTAGCCATTTTTGCACCAAGCAGGAGGGCAATTATAATTGCAGATAACTGGGGTGATAACAGTACTGGCCGTCTCTCCCGCATGCCTCCACACAGTCACATACAATGGGACTGTAGGTGTGCAGTGCTGAAAGTCTTTTTTACTTCCTTCAGTCTTGCATAGGGTGGGAGTGAGTTGTAATGACACTTCATAACTGTTAGTAGTGCAAGCTAATTCTTTAGCCTGACCTCTCCTGGGTTTCTTTTAGAGGCTGAATAATTAATCCACAGATTGTGGTTGGTATAGTCTGACGGTGTATTTACTGTTTCTTTTAAGTGCTTTCTTTTTCGATTACATTTGACAAATGTGTAACTGTTGAGGTTGAAGCTTTAAAACTTCATCGAAGAGGCTCTGGCATTATGAGCGACCACAGTGTGTATTGTGTTGCTGGCATATTCTGCAGTTTGCTGAAAGGGTCTGTCGGTAAAGACGATGGCTTCCCAACACCAGATGAAAGGTGTCTGCTGCTTCTCCCCTTGCACCGACATCCTCATGCAGGAGACGCTTTAGCAGGGTTTTGTGGCATGCCCCCCCCTCTTGTTTCAAACACCCACCACCATTCTGTCGGCTGTCATTTGCATTGTACATACTGTGGTGACCTGCTGTTCAGAAAGGCACATAGGCAGTCATTATGAACTAGAACAATAGATTTGAGGTAGCTCGGAGGTAAGAGAAGAGGATCTGTGGGTAGGAGAACACTGACCGAGAGGATTTGATCAGCTGAAATAAATGAAAAAACTTTCATCCTCTATGAAATGCCCTTTGGACTGGCACTGCTCCCACATCTGTTCCAAAAGGAGCTTTGCCATCTGTATGAAGCTTGTTGTGCTGAGAAGCTTGCTGATTGGAGGGAAAGATATTGTCTGGCTCACAAAGCAGGGTTTTTTGTCTTGATATACCTGTCTTATCCTAACTTGCAATCTTTAAGGAGCAATATATAACTCTGACACATAGCATTTAAAAGTGGCACTGTTGTCCAAATTCAAAACACTGGAGAGAGCTGTCTCCTGTACTGCCCCGTCCTCCCTTGAGGCGATGCGCACGTGGGTTGCCATGTCGCAGACACGGAAGCTTCAGTGTTTAGCCAACTCTGCATTGGACTTGAAACCTATCTGTGCTCTAACCTCTCTCCATTTTTCAAAAGCATCTCCAATATTGATCCTAGTTTGACCACGTTTCTGGAGCTTATAAGGAAAATGCCAAAGCTTTTTTTAGGTCGGGTAGATCCAATTATATCTGAACCAGTTCTCTTCCATCGCTGCAACACCTGTTGGTTTGACGTCATAACTGGTCTGATATTTGGATAACCGACGGACATCCAAAATGGCCAGCTGCTGCATTGTTGTCAGAGAAGCCAGCACTTCATCATAGCATGTTTCCTTAATGTCTGATCATATAGTAAGGTCATTTTATAATTTAATTCAGTAGATATCTTACAGATTTCTCCTCTAAAATAATTCTGGCCAGTGTTTCTTCCAGACTGTTTTGTAAAGTGAGGTTGTTTTTTTGTCTTTTGCTTCCAACAAGCCTCAAGTCAGAATTCTTCAAGCTGTTGTCATTTAATGTATTGATCTGAAAATGCATACGATTGGATGTGGTCCTGATATTTTGTCTTATCACAACTACTTCTTTAGCCATTGTTTCTCTACAGCAGCAGTTTGTTCTACTGAAATGACTCCCTAAATAATCAGTTGGATTAGTGCATCTTTTTGAAGGGACAGCGATGCTGATGTTGCAAAGAAATTGCAAAGACTGTAGCTGATTGGCTAACATTAGCATTCTCCTGTTGACTGATATTAAAACTGACATTTAAAATCTCACCTCAAGTTCTCACTGAAGAATAGACAACACATTGCAGAGGCCAATTTCTAAACTAGAATTATTAAGGGTTCTGATTTGTTTGTTTAAGCTGCAAAGCATAAATTACAAGGGTTGGAGTCGAACTTCATTTAGTTTTTACATGCTTCCCTGTGAAAAATGTTTGATATCAAATCAGATCACACAAGATACACTTGAGGGTTGCAACATTATTTTCAATCTTTTAGATGGTCAACCGTATCATGATTAGAGAAGAATATATGTAAAGTTTTTCCTTATGTTTCTCTTAAATCCTGGCTGATGTCTTGTCTAGCCTATAGATTATTGTTTTCATCATAAAAGTTTTATTTTATGTTAGAAAAAGAAAGTAGTGTAAGCAGTCTTGCAGGAGATTCCACTCTCTTCTGAAGCTATAATCCAGTTTGCATCAATATTATGAGGCCCATAACATCACAATGCTTATGACTCATACAGCCTATCACATTTTCTTTCAACTTGTTTTTCACACTAATAGTTCTATAAAATGAAGGCAGATTCTGTCGTCATTCAGGACTCAACATGAGTTTTAAAAGTCTTCAGAATAGAAGATTCCTGCAGTTGTGTGCATTTCTTCTTGTTTACTGGAAATAAAACACCTTCATTGATATTTGGAGGTTAGGAGATTACTTTCATAATTGAAATCGACAAATGGTGTAACTCCTTAATGGGCTCTACTCATTCATGTCGGGACGACTTCCACTGCTCAGTGAATCATCAGTCAAAGTCTAAACTGTTATAGGAGGTATCAAAAAGCGCCTTGCCTTACAGATTACATTTGAGCCAATTAAGAACCCTGCAGACACACCGTGAGCAGAAGAGAAGCAACTCTTATGACCATAAATTACACCAAAACCCAATTTTCCAATCTGCCAAATGTACTTAGTGGTTTCTGGGAGTACAAATGAAGATTTAATCTTCAAACCAAATAAGTGTAACAACAGTTCCACTTCCAAAACCCAGTGTCCTTATAGGGCTGGAATCTTTGGGAATCTAACGATTTGATTAGATTTCGATTCTTGGGGTCACAATTCGATTCAGAATCCATTTTTCGATTCAAAACGATTCTGGATTCATTGATCCATGAATTCAAAGTCTATTTTTTTTTTAACTAGTACATACTTCAGGATCTACTCCAATCATCTGTAAGACTGGCTGAATTTCTTGTTGCTCCATTTGGCATTCCTACTGAGTTAAAGAGCTAGCCTTAGCACTTAGCAGGGAGTGACGGATTAACACCCCCCCCCCATCCCAAAAAAAAAAAAATATATATATATATATATATGTGTATATATATATAAATGGAAGTTATGAATCGATTTTAAATCTTAAATAATCTTTGGGTGCTGGTGGCGCAGTGGTTAGTGCGCGCACCCCATGTATGGAGGCTATGCTCCTCCAAGCGGGCGCCCCAGGTTCGAATCCAACCTGTGGCTCCTTTCCCGCATGTCATTCCCCGCTCTCTCTCCCTGATTTCCAGCTCTATCCACTGAACTATATTTCCATTAAAGGCACAAAAAGCCCAAAAATAAATCTTTAGAAGAGAAGAATCTCCATTTTTGCATGAATATATATATTTTGCCACCTCTAGTCATTACCAAGCACTCGTTACTTGGAGATAAACTTATTTTAGTATATATGACAT